GCCCCCTTTGGTAAATATGGACACAATCTCGGGGCGGAGACCCCTGTTCCTGCTGGGACACCTCAGCCTGACCCCAGACAGGAAAGGGCTGGTTCCTCCTGTGACCCACAGAGAAACCAGGGAAATGCAGAAAGCTGGAAGACACACCCCAAAGGGCCAAAGCATTGCTGACAACCCAAGGCCACAGAAAGGTTTCCCATGCCTCTGGTCCAAACCATGCTCCAAGTCACTGGGTTCCACAGGGACAGAGACGAAATGCATGCAAGTCCAAGGGGAGGGGGACAGGCATGGGGGGAGTCAGAGATGCAGGAGCTCCCGGGGAAGGACTCTGGCAAAGGAAACCCTATGGAGGCAGCACTGGTCACCCTCAGACTGGCAGGTATCTGGTCTGGGGACCAGCAGCCCTGGCGAGAACGTGAGGAAACGGAGGTCCCCGGGAGAGAAGGGTGACGGGCACCCCTGTCTGGGAGAACAGTGAGCAGCACCCATCCCAGGCCACAGGTGCACCCATCACCTAGCGTGGGCAGCTCACTCCCACCCTGTTGAAGGAAGGGAACACCGTGTCCATCAACCTCTATTTGCAACAGAATCCATAAAGTGGAGTTTCTGGGTCAACACGTATACAGTGTTGAAGATACAAGCCTCAACTTCCAACATCCCAGGTCTGCTTGTCCACCTTGAGCCTTGTTTGGGAAGCAGGGGTGGGGAACCCTGGGGCTGTGACCTGTGGGAGGGGTGGGGAGGGGGAGCTCTGAGTAGAGTGACCAAGGTACCCGGGGTGACCTGCCCAGCAGGGACCCTCCCGCCCCCAGCCCCTCTCCTGACCTCGTGCACGACGGCGAGGGTGTGACGGTGAAGGTGCTGGCCCTTGGCTGGCGAGTTCCATAGCTGGTGCTGGAGCTGCTCAAGCTCCAAACTGGGCTCTGATCCCAGAGCTGGCGCGAGAGCCGAAGCTGCAGCTGCCCCAGTCTCGGGAGCTGCGGCACGCATCGGTGTAGGACCTGGCTCGAGCTCTGGGGCAGGTGCTGGAGCTGAATCCCCCTCCAGAGATGATCTAGACCCAGTTCCGCACTTGGATAGGGCTCTTGAACCCACGAACGGCTTTCCTCCCCCGCCCACTTCATGGATGCAAAACTCGGGATGGTGACGGGACCGGCTACATGGGGGTAATGGCTACGGGGGGATTCAGACCAAGGATCCTGCATCGCCTTCACCACGCGCCCCACGCGGGTCGGTCCTGAGCTGCCAGACGGGGACAAGGGCCTGACCCGCTGCTCCCGGCAGCTGCCCCCAGCTGAGCAGAGACACTTGCCGGGGACCTGAAGTCCTCGTTTGACCTCTGCTCCGGCCAGCCCCACGCGACCAGGGACCGTGCTTCCTCACCGCTGGGTCCCCAACCCCCAGAACAGTGCCTGGGAAGTGGTAGTACTTCACAGTTTAGTGAATCGGTGGGATCCCCCAGCAGACCCGGGATGCGGGGGATGTTGTTACAGATGAGAGGTCTGGGCCACAGACTCTTGTGTTCACGCTTTCTTCCACGCGTGCATCATCCACACCTGTGTCTGTTCGCTGGAATGCAGAGGGGACCCCCAGACACCCTCCCTGCCCTCGGAGCTCCCAGCCTAACCGGTGGGTCAGCATCTCACCCACGGTCAGCAAGTGGGCGGTACAGAGCTAGAGCACCTCGAGCACGAGACCTTGCACGAGCCGTGGGGCAGCTAAGATCTAGAACCATCTGACGCACCAGAATGTGCCCCAGCGCTGACTCGAGCCAGCCGTGGAAGTAGCTCGAGAGCCTGAGCCAGGGCCCCGCAGACTAGAGCCCCTCCAGCTCCGACACGCTGTCCCCCTCCGGAGGCAAAAGCAGCTCCGGGGTGAATTCCAGAGCAGAGCCACCTCCACACCAGTTCTCCCACCCGATCCGGCACCACTGGCAGAGTGAGAGGCAGCCCGAGAACGAGAGCCAGGTCTCGAGGCAGCTCAGCGCTGCTGGGGGAGGCCGGTTTCCTCTGACAAGGCACAGGGACGGGCTGTGGGGATCAGCACAGGGTGATCACCCTGGCAGGGTGGTGACCTTCTCCCCTCCTGCTGCTTCGGCACCATCTCGAGATGGAGAACTGGCCTCTGCCCCGGGGCCGGTCACCGCTGCAGAGTCGACGTGGCTGCAGAAGCAGCTACAGACCCAAAGCCCGCTGCAGAGCTCGAGGCATTTCCATCTCCTGGTGCGGGGCCTTCGCCAGGAGCTCAGGAGCTGGAGCCACGTGCGCCCCAGTGGGAGGAAGCCCCTGGACCTACGGCTCCATCACCGACTGCAGAGCTAGAGCCAAGGCAAGACTCTGAGCTGGATCGGCTCCACAGTCAGCTCCGGCGGCACCTCCGACCTGGAGCCAGCGCTGGCTCCCCCTGCAGAGCTAGGGCCAGTGGGAGCGAGACCCAATCCAGCACCAGTTACAGCCAGCTCCGGCCCCACCTCCCGGAGCAGCTGATGAGCTACAACCAGGGCCAGTTCCAGCACCAGAGTCGGCCTGTCCTCACCAGCGAACGCATTCCTTTTCTTCTCTTTTGGCTTTTGTTTCTTTTCATGTTTCCAGGTATATTTGTAGCTTAACATAAAATAAACTTTATCTTTTTAAACATTTCAAAGTGTGCAAACCACTGTTATCAACTCCATTTCCCGTGCTGGCAACATCACCCTATCTAATCCCAGAACATTTAATGCCCTGGAGAGAAACCCCGCACCCTCTGAGCAGGCAGTCACTGGTCATTCCCCATCCCCCTGCTCCCAGGCAACCACTGATCTGGCACCTGTCATTTACCTGGGACGAATTTTTCATACACGTGGGATCAAACCGTATGTGGTATTTGGGGTCTAGTTTCTTCCACTGAGTAGGATGTTTTCGAAGTTCACCCACGTGATAGCGTGTATCACTACTTCATTCCTGGCGTGGCTGAATGAATCCCATTGTATGAACAGACCACGTTGTGTTTGTCCATTCAACTGTGGATGCACCTGTGGGTTGTTTTCATCTTTCGATTATTGTCGAGAGTGTTGCTACGAATACTTCCGTGCAGGCTGTTGTTAGAGGGCCTGTATTCCATTCTTCTGTTTAGAGAATGAGTGGAGTTCGGCCAAATGAGAACAGTATGCTCAACGTGTGGACGACGTGCCACACCCTTTGCCACAGTGGTTCCGCCATATTACATCTCCCCCAGCAATGGAGGAGGGTTCTGTTTCCCCAGATCCTCTCCAACACTTGTTATTTCTGCTTATTCACTATAGCCCCTCCTCCTGGGTGGGGGAAGGCATGTCACTGTGGTGTTGGCTTGCATTTCCTACGATCTCATGAGGAAAATCGCCCCATGTGCTCACTGGGTCGTCTGACTATCTTCTTTGGAGAAATGTCTATTATTTTCAGTGGGGTTGTTTAGGTTCTTAAGTTGTAGGAGTTTTGTACACATTCTAGATGCAAGACTCGTATGAGATTTGCAAATATTTCCTACCATTCTTTGGGTTTCTTTACATTCTCTTGAGATTACCCTTTTGTTCACAAAAGTTTTTAGCAACGTTAAAGTCCAGTGTCTCTGTTTTCTCTGTTGTTGCTTGGGCTTCGGGTGCCATACAAGAGACACCATATTGCCAAATCCAAGGGAAGGAAGATCTGCCCCTAAGTGCTCTTAGTTTCCTTCTGAGTGTTAAGAATTTTCGCTCTTAAAGTTCATTCTTGGATCCATGTGGAGTTCATTTTTTATAGGGTGGAAGGGAATGCTCTGACTTCACTCCTTCGTATGTGGATATCCGGTTTCTCAACACCGTTTGTTGGAGACACTGTTTTTGCCTCATTGAATGATCTTGCTCTCCGTGTTCGAAAACAACTGACTGTACATGTATGTATTCCTTGATTCTCAGCAGTATTCCATTGATCCATATGTGTTGGCCTTCTCTGCTCATACCTTTCGGGAAATATTATAATCTCATACAGAGTTTTTCAAATTCTTAGGATTATTTGCATAGAAGATCATGTCATATATAAATAACCTTTTTCTTCTTCCTTTCCATTTGTGAGCTTTTAGTAACTAATCTTGTATAATTTCTCTGACCAAACTTCCATGACAATATTGAAATGAAGTGGTGGACATGGGCATCCTTGACTTTTTGGGGATTTTAAGGAGAAAACTCCCAGTCTTTCACCACAGAGAATGATATACATATGAGTTATTTTTCATAAATATCCTTTATCATAATTTTTAAAGAATTATTTATTTATTTATTTATTTGAGAGCATGCAAACCCAAGAGTGGGGAGGGGCAGAGGGAGAGAATCTCCAAGCAGACTCCCGACTGAGTGCAGAGCCCTCCCTGGAGCTCAATCTGAAGACTCTTGAGATCATGACCTGAGCCCAAACCAAGAGTCGAACACTCAACCCACTGAGCCACCCAGGGACCTTTCCTTTATCACAACTGAATCTTCTATTTCTATTTTATTGAGAATACTTGTTATGAAAAGGTTTGGATTTTGTCAAAGCTTATCCTACAACAATTGACATGATCATGTTTCTTCTGGATGTGGTCTAGGACACTGATTAGCTACGTTGAACAGCCTTTGCATTCCCGGTGTAAATCACACTTGGTCATGATGTAGAGTCCTGTCAATGTGCTGCTAGATTCTGTCGCTAGAATTCTGTTGAGGATTTTTGCCTCGCTCTTCATAATGGATTTTGGCCTGCAACTGTCTTTTCTTGTAAGGTCTTTGTCAGTCTTTGGAATCGGGACAATGCTGGCATTCTAGGGTGACGTGGGAAGTGTTCCCTCCTCTTGTACTTTTTTCAGACTTTCAGAAGGATTGGTATTATGTCTTCTTTAAACGTGTGGGCCAAATCACCAGGGAAAGCATCAGGTTCTGGACTTTTCATTCTTGGGAAGTTCTCATGACTGCTTCAGTCTATTTACTTATTAGAGGTCTGCTCAGGGTTTCCATTTCTTCTGGAGTCACTTTGGTAGTTTGTGTGCTTCTCAGAATGATCTGCTTCATCTCAGGGAGCCAATTGGTTGGTATAAAGTGGTTCCATTTTTGTCTCTTTGTCAATTTTGGTAAATCTGCAAAAGAAAGAACTGTTGTTTTCACTGATTTTTCTCACATGCTCTTCTCTTCCATTTATCTCTGCCCTAATCTTCATAGTTTCCTTTGCTCTACTAACTTTGATCTTCTCCTTCGACTGAACCAGAGGAACATTCTAACTGTTCCAGATGCCAGCCAGCCAGAGGGCCATTGTCTAGGTCTGGGTTGTTGGGTAGAGAAGCAATACAGACTGGAGTGGATCAGGCTACCTGGGCAATTTCTACCTCACCTGGCATTCCAGGTCACCCCCAGACCGTCATTTCAGGCTGAAGCTCTCCTCCTGCCAGGCATGATGCCCAGCAACAGACTGACCTGACTTCCCATGAACCACTCACGACCTTAGGGGCCTTCTGTGCTCTAGGAACAAGCAGACTAGCTGAATTTTGCCAAGGAGCACTGCCCATGAGCAGAAAACCTGCATAGCTCAGGGCACTGTCTTCTGTGTGCTTCCTTCACACCTTCCCATGTGTGGGTCACAGCCACCTGTGCCCACGGACACCCTAGAGCACCCATTCACCCAGGGTGTCGGATCAATGCAAAGTCAGCCCTTCAATTCTGCCACCGCACCCCCAACACAACACCCAAGACCAAAAGGAGCGCTCACTCCAAGTCCTGGGACCAGCTCAGATGCAGCCCCTACCTGCGCAGCAGGGACATCGCCTACCCGCTCTGCATGCTCCTCCAGCCCGATGTAGATGTGGAGGACATTAGTGTGGGTTTTGTCCCAGGATCCCTGATGGCCAGGAAAAGGAGGTGACTGTCCCACCCTTTCTCCCTGACAGACATCCCTTCCTGGAGCCTGGATCCCCACTCCACAGCCACAAGGGGCCAAGAAGACTCAGTCTCTAGAAGCTTCTGGGCTAGATGCTGACCGGGGTTGCCTTACACAGTCTGGTGTTTCTGCTGGCCTTGCCGTTCCTCAAGTTCCGGAGTTGACCTCCCAGTCGTCGCTGCAGACCTCAGGCATCATCTCAGCCTCTGTCAGCACCTCCCCCTCCTCAGCCTCCATCACATCTGTGGCAGCCTCGGACTCACACGAGCGCCGTGTCTCGGGGTCTGCAACCACGGCTCCTCGCTGCTGCTCTCCATGCAGCAGGTGGGCGCTGCTGCCTCAACCCCATCAGCCTGGACATGAAGATCGGCACCATGTACAAGAGCATCCTGCTGAACTGGGCACATGGGGCGTCCCTTTGGTCTCCTGACTCAGACGTCTCTGAGTACTGACCTCACTGAAACAGCTAGCTACTCTGACGAAGCCACCTCTGGACCTTCCAGGCAGCATGCCCAGGCCTGGAAGGACGCAGACGACCACCACGGCCCCACTCTACACAGGAGGAAACTGCGGCAGCCTCCTCACCTCTGGCTGGTGCTTGCTTGGTGATCCCCATGCTTGGGTGGGGACAATAACATGCCCACCAAGCTCCTTCTAAATCTACGATGCTGTGGCTCTGGTAAGACTGCCCGGATTGTGTCCCCTGAACCCCCCAACCCGCAGTGTCCCCTGACTCCTTGCCCAATATCCAGAGAGCCCTGCGTGATCTGGTCTAGACATGCTCCCCAGTGTGCACCCCTCAGCCCACTCCAGCCTCTGTAGGGCCTTCGTCCCCCAGGGAGCCCGGCAAGAATTTGCCCCTCAGAACCCCTGCCGTCCCTCCCTATGACCCCCATCCAGGGTGGCCTCACCTCCAAGCCTGGGCTCAAAGGCTACTTCCTCCGGCTCCTCTGTAAGCTCAGGCTTTGGGTCAGATTGAGCTGGGTTCAAACCCACAGCAGGGCCATGTCACAGCCCTGTGACTGGCAAGCTCCTGTGGGAACTCCTGGGACCTCAGTTTTCTACTTTGGAGATGGGGTCAGTGACTCTCACCTCAGGAGGATGGGTTGGGGTTTAAAGCAGGGAGATGAAGGTGTTTGAGTGCCGGATTTTGGGGAGAGGGGCTGCTGCCAGGAAGACAGGGGGAGGGGATGTAGAGGAGGCAAAGGCGGCCTGACCTCCTCCCTGCCCACACGTGTCCCCATCACCCTCCCCTGACCCCCCCGCCATGCACTGAGATGAACACTGAAGTGGAATGTGGGGGCCAGGACGGCAGCGGGGGTATATTTCATTTCTCTCTAGTCCCCAGGTCTCCATGTCCACTCAGTCCAACGGCCCTGCCTGGCGGGACTGGGGCTGGCCCCCGGCCTAAGAGGACATGAGGGTCACTGAGCAGGCAGTGGAGATCGGGACACGGAGGACCAAGGCCACAGCCAGCCCCTCGGGGTTGCGCAGGCCTGCTGGCAGGTTGGGTCCCACGCAGGCGCCGTCTGCTGGGCCGTGTGCGCCTGCGCAGGATCCACCTGCCTCCGACCCACCATTGGTGGGAGGGCCCCACCCACCCAGAGTGCACCTGCGCCACGTCCACCCAAAAGGTGGGAGCCAACCGGCCACGCCGAGCCACGCTAATGAAGTTCCTCCTCCAAGCCCTCATGGGACAGTCGGCAAACTGAGGGCAGGAGAGGCAGGGACTGGCCTGGGACCCACCAGCTGAGCAGAGGCTAGAGGAACAGGGAGGGTTCCAGCTTCCGAGGCCAAGCTTCACCTCGCATGGGGTTTCCTTTGGGAACGAGGACCCCTATGATCTGGGGGACCCCTGCCCACACTCCCATGTGGGGCCCTTTCCTCTGGTCACCCTCGCGCGGGCACACGTACACACAAGGCTCTGCGTGCGCGCGCGCGCACACACACACACACACAAACTCCCCAGGGGCGTCCAAGGGGGCGTGGACCCTGGAGGGGACAAGGGGGAAAGAAGGAGGAGGTTGGAGGCAGCTGGGCCGTGGGCTGTGGGCATTGTCTCCTGGGAACATGCCCGGGGCCGTAGCATGGGGCTCAGGGGAGACATGCCAGGCTGATGGCCAGGGCGTCCCCAAGATGCCCAAGGGCTGTCACAGGCACCCACATTCTAGAGACAGCCCCCTTCCTACTCAGTTCACTTGGCTGGAGATGCTGCAATCCTGCTGTATCCCGATGTCCCCAGGATGTGGTCTCAGCAAAGCCGACAGTGAGAGCCGTTGCCTACACTGCAGACCTGGGGTCAGGTCCCACCCCTGACACCTCTGGCCATTTGCCTGGAGGGGCCCAAAGGGAACACAGGGAGGCCCAGAGCCAGCCAGGCCAGCCAGACACTGCTGTGATCCGACCGTGCAGCCCAGCATCCCTCCTGTGTGTGTGTGTGTGTGTGTGTGTGCAGAGGTCTCAGGCAGGGTAGCCCACCCTGAGCAGGAGCAGGGTGATGAGGGGCCAGATGCCTGGTGGGTGGATCATGTTGACACCCCGGGTCAAGGCTGGCTGGGTGGGACGGGGTGTGCTGGGGCGGCCTCCTTCTCCCCAGGGTTGATCTGGAGCCCTGTCGATACATGTCACTGCACCCCGGGCGCAGGGCTGTGCCCGCACGGGGCTGTGTCTGATCTGGGGGCAGCAGTGGGGCTGGGCAGGAGGACGGTGAGGACGGCTGGGCAGGGCTGTGATGCCTCCGGGCCGGGCGCCGCTCACTGTCTTCGCAGAGCCCCATGGAAGAAATTGGGGACAAGCTGGTCAACAGGAGCCTCACTCGACGGCTCCCCGGCGTGGGGCACGTGCACCAGGCAGTCGGTAAGGGCTGGTGCGGGCTCAGGGGGAGTGTGGGGACGAGGGCGCTCCAGGACCGGGCTCGGGGAGGGCCGGGAGGGTCTCCTGCCCCGACGCCATCCGGGACACTGACGACCCGGGGTGCCACGACGGCTGTGCCCCTTACGTGGCCATGATCTCAACCCAAGGGGTCTGGGCTGCTCCCTTCACAGACCCACACACACAGACACACACGCCAAACACACACACACACCCAGTCCTTCAAACACACACACACACACACACACCTGGTCCTTCACACACAGACACACACACCCGGTCCAGCCCCAGCCTTGGCCAGGTACAAAATCACCCTTCACATACGTGGAAGATGATCTCAACCAATTTGGATATTCTGTTGCACTTCAGGACACGGACAGGAATAGTTTTGCAGTTTGTGTGTTGTGAATTGTCCCTCCTTTATCCAAAGATCAGCCCCACCGTGAACCTGAGTGGGCCCTGCCGCTGGGGGCGAGCCAGAGGCTGTGGGCGGTCCGTGCTGACAGCCTGAGGAAGCTGGTGGAGCCGGGCCAGGCCCTCTCCTGTGGCCCCTCTCCCGGAACACCTCCCAGAGGAACGCCTCCCCAGCCCTTCCCACACCTGCTGCTCACAAAGGTGAGCAGGGCCCCCCGTCCCGCCCGGAGGCTCCCCCTCACCTGCGGGCTGTGTGTCTCGGGCCTGGCACGTCCCCTCTCTGAACCTCAGGTGTCTCCTGGGGACCCTGCGTGCCACGAGGCCAGGCCCCACACACGGGGTTGCCGTCGGGCCTGTTGGGACCGCTCCCCGACCCTGTGGCCGGCCCACGGGGAGGGTGGCCTGGGGCTGAGGCGGTTCCTCTCCACCGTGAAGGAGCTCTCTGCCCCAAGCCTCGGTGTCCTGTGTCCAGGGCAAAGCCGCATTCCTGGCTGTGAGGAGGTTTCAGATTCCATCTGGGGCTCCCATCCTGGGTGGAGCCAGAGCAGGGATCCCTGGGGGCTGGCAGAGGGGCCCCAGAGCCACTCAGACATCTGAAAGGTGCTGGCTGGGCTTCATCGACTCCACACATGGACAGGAAGCCCCTTCTAGACATTTTCCATAATTCAGGGAACAAGGCAGACAAATGTCCCTGCCCCGTGGGCCTCTTTCTAGGTGGGGGTCCGCCGCTAAGCCTAGACGACAAAGCAGAGATGGGCACACGACACTCCGTGGGACGCCCTGCCGGCCTCCTCTAGATACGGATCCCTCTGCTCTCATTGTCCAAAGGATGACGGGCCCTAGGACGAAGAAGAGCCCTTGTCTCCGAGGTGGTGAGGGAATGCGGGGGACCGGTCAGGTGCGGAGCCATGGGTCTCGTGCACATCTGCCGCAGGGCTGGGTCATGGTACAGGAGCTGTGGGCAGGTCGTCTGTGCACACCTGGCCATGACACACCTGGCTGGCCCTCTCGGTGGGGAGGCCTGCGTGCCTGGTGCACCTGTCCCCCACCTACCCCTGGAGGAGCAGCCACGTTCAAGCCTTTCCATGTCCGACCCTCAGGGACAGTTGGGAACCTGGGTCAAGAGAGGCAGGGACTGGCCCAGGACAACTGAGGGGTGCAGAGTCCAAGGAGCTGCTCTCCAGTCCTAGGCCAGTCCCAACCCTCCCATGAGGTTTGCTTTGGGGGTGAGAGCCACTCAGATCCTCGGGAAGAGCTACCCACCCCGTTCCATGTGGGGACATGACCTTGGCATCCCCAGGCACGTAGAGGCACGTGCAGCTGCACACACACCCCCACACACACACCCACACCCACACACACACCACTCTGACTGCCCAGCTGGGGGTCAGAAGGGGAGGACACCCTGGGAGCGAGGTGGGTGACAGGGGGGAAAGAAGAAACAGGTTGCAGACAGCTGGGCCATGGGGCAGGGCATCAGGACTCCTGGCAAGGACCCAGATCCATAGCATGGGGAGGGGAGACAGGCCAGGCTGAGGGTCAGGGGTCCCCAAGGGACCCCGAAGGGTTGCCAGGGCACTGGGAGAGGACAGGGTCTGGGTTCCGGTGTCCATCACCAGCCTGGGCACTTGGAAGCAGGAAGAGATACCCACCCCCAAGTCCAGAGGGGCTACAGCACAAAGGCCTCAGCTTACTCTTCTGTCACTTGGGCTTAGAGATGCAGTGTCCCTAGGGTCCCACAGGCTTGTGGAAGAGCCTATTGGCCTTGGATCTCCATCCCCGACCCACTGTGCTCCCAGTCCTGGGAAAATGCTTTGTACTCCCTCGAGGTCCTTCTGAGCAGGGGACAGACTGGGGACTTGGGGGGCTGAGGACCTGGGTACGCAGAACATGGCAGAGCACTGACCACTAGTCTGGGGACCAAGGCCAAGACCCTCCTTGTTGCAGCCTCCGGGTCTCCATTTGGAAGAGGTTCCAGATTCACTGCTCTGGTCCGGGTGACAAGGCCTTAGGAAGGAATGGAGCACCGGGACAGACGAGGGAAACACGGACAAGGGAAGCTTCTGAGGTTTCTCACATCACCCCTGGAGTCCACAGATCCTGCTCCTGTGAGAGACACAGAGACAGAGACAGAAAGAGATAAGGAGACAGAGAATGAACACACGACAGAGGGAACCAGAAGAAGTCACAGACTTTCCTCCATCAGCTTGGAAATGACATCCCAGCATTTTGCCCCATTCTCTTCCTGAGAGCGCGGTCACACAGGCCATCCACCCCGGAGGGGAGGGGATTCCACAGGGATGTGTGAGCAAGATGTGGGAATGCCCGGGAACCACTGTGGGGACTGCCCAGCACATGGGCGCAGACGAGGCCCCGGGGCCTGAGCCTAAACCTAATGGGAGCCCCTGGAAGTGTGCGTCACCAGGGGACAAGGTCGGAATCCGTTCATTGCAACCTTCCCACAGGGGCTGGGAACAGGCAAGAAGGGGGTGGCTTTGCCCAGACCCCAGAGCAGACCCAGGCCCCTCTGAGCTGTGCTCCATGTCCCGCCCAGCCCCTGGCTCATCCTTGCATTGCCAAGTGTGCCCCAGCCTCCTGTGATAGCAAGTACGGAATGTATGTAGAGGTCCTACCCCTGATGGCGTCCCTAGGAGTAGAAGCCAGAACACCCCACTGTGCAGATGGGGAGCCTGGGGAGGCCCTGAGAGGCACAGGGTCTGTCCAGGGTCACAGCCCTGGGCACGCACAGGAGCCCAGTCTGAAGCCAGCTCTGTGTCCTCACAGCGGGGACACCGGCTGCACCCAGGCCTTGGGAAGGCTGTGGGTGGGCTGTGAGGGAGTCACTGTATGGATGGGGCATGGGGGGAGGGGGCCCTCGGGGGTGGGGGTCTTGTGTGAGGAGGAAGTTGGGTAAGGGGACCCCAGGCAGTGGTGACCTCACTTCCCTGACAACAGAGTCCAACAGAATTTGGAACCCAGGTAACCAGGCACCCACATTCCAGAGACAGCCCCCTGCCCAGCTCATTTCATTGGAGATCATCCAACCATGAACATGTGGGCTTGTTGCCTCCCTAAGTCTGGATGCTGCAGGCTGAAGAAAGCCCGCCCTGAAAACGCTGGCCCCCGCTGGGGATGTCCGATCAGGGCTCCCCACCGCCTCTGGCCGTTTGGCCAGAAGGCCCGAAAGGTGACACCAGGAGGCCCAGAGCCGGCCACCCAGCCCCACAGGGTCTAATCCACCTGTGCAGCCCCAGGTCCCCTCCCCTCTGTGCGTGTGTGTGTGTGTGTGTGTGTGTGTGTATGTGTGAAGAGGGGTCATGTGGGGTGGGCCAACGCCATTCAAGAGCAGGCTGATGAGGGGTCAGATAACCCATGGGCAGGTCATGTTCAAGGTCCAGGCTGGCTGGGTGGGATGGGGTGTGGGGGGCTGTGAGCTTCTGCCCAGGGTTTGTCTCGATCGCCCTGCAGGGATGGGTCATTGTCCCGCGTGCACGGCTGTACACCCACAGGTGTGTGTCTGATCTGGGAGCAGCAGGGCGACTGGGCAGGGGACAGGGAGGTTGGCCGGGTAGGACTGGGATGCCTCCGGGCCGGCTACCCGTCCCTGTCTTTGCAGACCTCCGATGAGATCGGCACGAGGCTGGCGGACACCCACTCCATGTCCGGGATCCGGAGCGTGACCCCACAGGACTCCCCTGGAGCAGGTGCTGGGGATTGCGGGGAGAGGCCTCCGACACCACCCAGACCACTGTCCCTGGTGGTCATTGACTGCATTGTGCTCCAGGAGCCAGAGCCCACGGAGGCCGAGCCTGAGGCTGAGAAGCCCGGGGCTGGGTGCCCGTGGGTGTGTGTGGAAGGGTGGGGGCTGGCCCCACAGGGAGGAGCCCCCAGAGCCTGGTGTGGGGCCTGGAGCACCGACTGGGCTCAGAGCACCCAGCGGGTGGACTGCGGTCGGGGAGACGCCCCGGGGAGGGCTCCTTCCTGGCTGCTGCTTCTCTGGGAGGCCCTGGGCTGGGTTCTGTCTCCACGGAGAGCAGGCTTGGGGTGAGCTTTTCTCCTCTCACAGCTGCTCCACCACCTGAGGAGCTAGAGCCGGCTCCAACTCCACCGGCAGCTCTGGACGGAGGGGTGGTGGCTGCGACTTCAGCAGGAGACCGGGAGCCGGCAGGTGACCCAGCACCCGCCCACGGAGAGCCTGACGGGGGCCAGGAAGGGCCTGCTGGACAACCTGCCTCCGGAGAGCCTGCCCCTGGGCCTGCCCCTGTTCCTGCCAGAGCCGCCGCCCCTGCGCCTGCCCCGAACTGTGGCCCTGCTCCTGCGCCCGACCCAGCTCCTGCCCTGGATCCTGACCCATCCCTACCCCTGCCAGTGCCCCGGTTCTTGCCCCTGACCCAGATACTGCCCCGGGTCCTGTACGTGCCAATGCGGCAGACCCTGTCCCTCCCCTTGCACCTGCCCCCTCCCATTCCCCGGCTTGTGCTCCTGTTCCGGCCCCTGCCCCAACTCCTGCCCCTTCCCCTGCCCCTTCCCCTGCCCCTGCTAGAGCCAATGTCCCTTCTCCTGACCCACCTCCTGCCCCTGCACCTGCCCCTTCCCCAGCACCTGCCTGTGCACCTGTTCTTGCCCCTGACCCAGCTCCTGACCCTGCACCAGCCCCTTCCCTTACCTGTGCACCTGTTCTTGCCCCTGATCCGGATCCTGACCCTGACCCAGCTCCTGCCCTGGATCCTGCCCCTTCCCTTGCCCCTGCCTGTGCTCCTATTCTTGCCCCTGACCCGGGTTCTGCCCCTGCCCCTGCCTGTGGTCTTGTTCCTGTCCTTGACCCACCTCCTGCCCCTGCACCTGCCCCTTCCCCTACCTGTGTTCCTGTTCTTGCCCCGGACCCAGCTCCTGCCCTGGATCCTGCCCCTTCTCCTGCCCCTGCCTGTATTCCTGTTCTTGCCCTTGACTCAGCTTCTGCCCCTGCAACTGTCCCTTCCCCAGCCCCTCCCTGTGCTCCTATCCTTGCCTCTGACCCAGCTCCTTCCCCTTTCACTACCCGTTTCCCTGCCCCTGCGTGTGCGCCCATTCCTGCCCCTGACCCACCCCCTGCCCCTGCACCTGTCCCTTCCTCTGCCTGTGTCCCTGTTCCGGCCCCTGCCAGAGCTGATGCCCGTTCCCCTGCCTGCGTCCCTGTTCCTGCCCCTGCCCCTGCCAGAGCCGATGCCCCTTGCCCTGCCTGCGTCCCTGTTCCTGCCCCTGCCAGAGCCGATGCCCCTTCCCCTGCCTGCGTCCCTGTTCCTGCCCCTGCCAAAGCCGATGCCCCTTCCCCTGCCTGCGTCCCTGTTCCTGCCCCTGCCCCTGCCAGAGCCGATGCCCGTTCCCCTGCCTGCGTCCCTGTTCCTGCCCCTGCCCCTGCCCCTGCCAGAGCCGATGCCCCTTCCCCTGCCAGTGTCCCTGTTCCTGCCCCTGCCAGAGCCGATGCCCCTTCCCCTGCCTGTGTCCCTGTTCCTGCCCCTGCCAGAGCCAATGCCCCTTCCCCTGCCAGTGTCCCTGTTCCTGCCCCTGCCAGAACCAATGCCCCTTCCCCTGCCTGCGTCCCTGTTCCTGCCCCTGCCCCTGCCAGAGCCGATGCCCCTTCCCCTGCCAGTGTCCCTGTTCCGGCCCCTGCCCCTGCCAGAGCCGATGCCCCTTCCCCTGCCTGTGTCCCTGTTCCTGCCCCTGCCAGAGCCGATGCCCCTTCCCCTGCTTTCCAGGGCCGCTGCCCCTTCCCCTGGCCCTGCCTGTGCTCCTGTACTTGCCCCTGACCCAGCTCTTACCGTGGATCCTGCCCCTGGCCCTGCTCTTGCATCTGGCCCTGCTCTTGCATCTGGCCCTGCCCCTCCTCCTGCTCCTGCAGGGCTCCCAGAACCACATCCAGAGCCCACATCCTCACGGGGAGAGCTCCTTGTACCATTACCCTTAGCTCCATCACCCGACCCCGATGCCCCGCCAGATTGTTTCATCCCCTCCCCCTATGTTCTTTCTCTCTGGTTCGTATTAACTGTTCTATTCTCTTTCCATGTCCTATATGCTGTTTATTATTCATTTTAAATAAAATGAATTGTTTTCAGTTGAACAAGTCCTGAGCATCAGTACATTCCCAACGCTGGGCCACCACACCACAGAACATGGCTGTGGAATATCTGCCTCCCCAAAGGAGTCCCCGAACCAGAAGACCTCCCTGGAAACCCCTAAGCTGCTTCCTCTCTCTGTTCCTTTACCTGTTCTGGATGTTTCCTGTACGTGGAATCACACAGTATGGGCCTTTGTGTCTGCCCCCCTATTTTCAAAGGGGACTCATTCTTTTCTGTGTTGACTTGACATAGAATTTCCCTTATTTGATGTTGAAATCCCCGATGGATTACAGATGAGATGGAACCATAGAGCCCCCTTTGGTAAATATGGACACAATCTCGGGGCGGAGACCCCTGTTCCTGCTGGGACACCTCAGCCTGACCCCAGACAGGAAAGGGCTGGCTCCTCCTGTGACCCACAGAGAAACCAGGGAAATGCAGAAAGCTGGAAGACACACCCCAAAGGGCCAAAGCATTGCTGACAACGCAAGGCCACAGAAAGGTTTCCCATGCCTCTCGTCCAAACCATGCTCCAAGTCACTGGGTTCCACAGGGACAGAGACGAAATGCATGCAAGTCCAAGGGGAGGGGGACAGGCATGGGGGGAGTCAGAGATGCAGGAGCTCCCGGGGAAGGACTCTGGCAAAGGAAACCCTATGGAGGCAGCACTGGTCACCCTCAGACTGGCAGGTGTCTGGTCTGGGGACCAGCAGCCCTGGCGAGAACGTGAGGAAACGGAGGTCCCCGGGAGAGAAGGGTGACGGGCACCCCTGTCTGGGAGAACAGTGAGCAGCACCCATCCCAGGCCACAGGTGCACCCATCACCTAGCGTGGGCAGCTCACTCACACCCTGTTGAAGGGAACACCGTGTCCATCAACCTCTATTTGCAACAGAATCCATAAAGTGGAGTTTCTGGGTCAACACGTATACCGTGTTGAAGGTACAAGCCTCAACTTCCAACATCCCAGGTCTGCTTGTCCACCTTGAGCCTTGTTTGGGAAGCAGGGGTG